AGGAATGAGAAATGGGAAAGTGAATAAAGAAATACTTTTCCTTGGATTTTTTTCCAGGGGCTGACATGCACTAGCATCTTGGGTCACCTTAGTGTAGAGTAAAGTTCGCACTAGCAAATGTAATAGCGTTGCCCACTATGACTGGGTTTGCCTCCCTTCCCACCCCCAGGTTTTTCTACTGATATGCAGTTCTAGCCATCACAGCAAGGGGATCAGAGAAATGGGAGGAATGAAAAAAAAAATTGGATTCATAGGAAACAACACATCTAGAGGCCTGTAGTTTCCTCAGAGCTTTTAGGTACTCACACAATGCACATTCTTAGAAACACTAGCATATTTTATTTCCCAAAAGATATTAGCTCTTTATCTTTAGTTTATTTAAAAGCTGGTGCCTCAAAGGCACTGTGTAAACTGAATTCCTACTATGCTTCTTAGTGATATCTAAATCTCATTCTACATGATCACAATAGGGATTTGGCATTAGAAACCACACTCTTGGATTACCAAATATTGTTCAGAGCCCAGCTCCGCCGAAATCTGTCCTACAGCACCCCCTGCTGTAGCACAGGTGAGTAACAGCAACAGCTGCAAAAACTTCAGGACAATAATAAGTCCCTGTTTTACTTGTACAACACTCCCCTTCCAATACGTTGACGGCTGTTGTGATTATATTTGGACTCGCAAAATAATCAGCCTGTTTCCTAAAGCCCCTAATACAGGGGCGGGCAATTATTTTGGGCGGAGGGCCGCTTACTGCGTTTTGGGAAGCCATTGAGGGCGGCACGACAGGCAGCCAGGGGCAGATAAATATTAATTTTCTAAATTTTTTAGGGGCCCCGCAGGCTGGATAGAATGGCCTGGCGGGTCGCATCCGGCCCGCGGGCCGCATTTTGCCCACCTAATAAAAGGGAACTGAAGAGGCTTTGAACTTGCCTTTTAAAGAAATACTTTTCTACCAGTGCACCTTAAAATCTCAATCCCAGGTAGTAAATAAAAAAGTCCCACTTTGTTATTTGTAGAAAATCTCATGATTAGAAAACTGATCTAATAGATCTGGGGGCACGATTCGACTTCTGAGCACTTAACACTGGCAGTCCTGACTTCCCCCTCTCTTGGCGGGCAACACGAAATGCCTGGCCACAGCTGCAACAAAAAGAACAAAACAAAAAAAACAACCTCCAAATAGTGAAGCAATGCATCTATCAGGACGCCAAGGACCTCATATTGCTATTGCGCACATCTCTTTTATGTGTAACTGCAGTTACGTGCCGAGAAGTTACTCCCGATTTACCCAGATATAATGCAGAGTTAAACGAAGTTTGCTGATCCTCTGAGCACTAGGGATGTATTAAAAGTATACTGAAAGCCGTGTTTTTATACGTGATAATGCATCCACCTATCTTTGGTTATCCTCCTAACTGACCTTGGCACACGTCAGGGGGAAAACCCCGCCAGGGTTTCTGGTTCCCACCAGTGCTAACATGAAAACAAAGCGGGATCCTAAGGTGGAGCGAGCGGGGCACTGACCTGACTGGATGACTTGGCTCCCGGCCCCTGCTCTGCTCTTTAATGGCCCCATAACTGTGGAAAGATCGCCTCATCTTCCTGCCCAACGCGAGGCCGTGCAGGTTACTCCGGTCCATCCTGGAAGGTGCCCGTCCTACGGCCCAGTCGGAGGCACAAAAATCTGTGAGATGTCCGTCCACGGGACGACACAACGGCTCGGGGCATGAACGCCACGTGCCCCCAGCGGCTGGGGGGACACGGCGACCTCCCGCAGGCAGCGACAGCGGCGGGAAGTGTCCCACGGAGGCCTGCACGGCACGTATGGGACACGCGACAACGCGCAGAGGCCTCCCAGCCGCGGCAGGAGGGGGAAGAGGCGACCCAGGAGGCTCAAGAGACGAAGGGACGCTGCAGAGGGATCCCCCACTGAGCCCTGGGGGCCGCGGGCCGAGACGGGGCGGCTCCCAGCCTGCCAGGGGGATCCGGGACAGAAGTTCGAAACAAACCGCTTTAACTTAAACCAGTTCAGTCTGACACTGCAGCCGTTCAGGCTGATCTTAAACCAGTTTTGGCCATTTTGAGAGCGGTTTATGTGTGCCGAACGTCTATTGGGTCGCAGATTTGAACCGGTTTCTGATCACTTGTCCCGGCTTATGTGCTATTTCTGCAGACCACCGGGGTGGGCCCCTCCTCCCTTCCTGAGCGTTCAGCCCTCAGGTGGGCACTGGCGATGGCGGCAGGAGCGCCCTCCTTCCCCTCCCCCACCGGAACTGTTCTGCCCCGGAACCATAGAGAGGCATCGGCGGCAGCGGCGGCGCTGGGGAGCACATTGAGGGGCGGACCGCGGGAGTGGGGGAGGGGCGCGGCCATGGCGGCGCCGCAGAAGGCGGAGCGGGGCTCGGCCGTGCTGGAGCT